TTGCTCTTCAGCTAGTGCTCTACCCAGTGATTGGAAGGGAGTGCTGTTCTTGACGGGATCCGGGGTATCACAGATAATGGCGATCTGGAGATGTATACGAAGAGTGCACGCAGCGTGTTTGGTGCTTCACATAAAATCAGATTTACTTCTCGGATTCGCGACGTACAGCTTCTGAAGTATAGGTAAGGTTGATAATTGCACATTGAGTTTTGTTGGGGGATATTACTTACCTCCAGGGCAATTCAACGATGAGCGTCAAGTTAAGTCAAACACAGTTTGACTGCGCAATCCGATCACAGCTTCTTCAGATACGATGTTCTTCCCTCTACCACACATATTCAATCTTCTATCCTGTAAGAGCGCCTCTGATCAGCAGGCAATCACCGAAGCTTAGTCCACATGTCTTTGAATACCTGCCCTACAGACTTCCGTTTGCGTGGATCGTCAAGACCATTTCCGCCGTTACTAGCTTCTGGAAGTTCAATAATGGGAGCCGTGGCGGTGGCCATACCCGTTGTGTGAACAGGCTCACGGGCGTCGCAGTTGCGCGGCGGAAGTTCGAGATTGACATAATCGCCAGTCTGTTCGTTAACCAATACACCATCTGAGGTTGCGCGCAGAGGTCCTTGCGATACGTCTAGTCGTGATGAATACTGGTGGACCGACTCCGGCAGCTTCGGTCGCGATGCTGGGGTGTCTGAGGGCGACATTTGTGATTGTATTGCCATTAATTTGGGTGGCTGGTATGTCTGGCTATCGGAGAATTTATCTTGATGAATCGATGAGGTGGGCCACAAAGCGACGGCTGCGCTGCCTCTCCAGAGTGAAAGAAAGCAACCAAGGTTCCGTGACGACGCATTTGCGCGCTACTTCGATGGATTCTTCTGGAGATATGATTGGGGCCGCGTTTCCTTCTGAACATTGATGCTTAAGTGTTAGGTCTCTCGTGAGGTGGCTGCCCAGGTGTGGTGTAGCGACGTGGTGCTGAAGTCAAGTGGTGACGGCAGGTATGGTACCTAGCCAGTGGACGCGAGGCTGGCAGCTACAAACGCAGTATCGGAACGGCGTCATGTGATGGTGAGACTAAGACTTTAGGTGCATGGTTGATGATAGAGGATCAAAAACCTCCCTCCGCTTAGTGCGTGTGGATTACGTCATCAAACAACTCATTTCGTGCGCACTTCAAAACCGTCACGAAACGCCCGCTGATCTCAACTCAAAGCTCGACATTTCTATTCGCGCCTACAACTGACTCCTACCACAAATCTCTAAACGCAATATGCCACAGTTCAAGTCACAACATTTGTCCAATGTTCCGCCAGTCCGCCATGCCGAGGTCACTTCCACCGTCGCGTATTCGGCCAACACTGCAGACTCACAATCCCAAAGTCGCCGTTCAACCCAGGACACCCGATAGTACTGATAGAGTCAGCACTTTTCCTGATCACCTCGCCCCCTCGACCAACTTACTTATACGTTTGTCCATTAGCTATAATATGAGCTTGAGCCCCATTCTTGCAATCCGGCTCCTGGTATAGAAGGCAGTAGCCACCTGGGTCAGGTCCAATAGACTGAGGACGACTCAGAGCAAGACCGATTTCTTTTTGGTAAGAAATGCAGACTGTTTCGTCAGCAGCAGCAGGAGGTGGCCACCACTTGCATGTCTGAGTTGCGGAAGGCGTGAAGTTTGGGCCGGGGCAGATGTAGACGCCGCCAGGTCGGCCTACTTTGACATCGCAGACAGGGGAGTTTGGATCTGTGAAGGTGCGCAAGTCGGTGTTACTGCCGCTGAAACCGCCGCCGGTGGCTGGGATTACTTGGACAACGATGGTATCTCTTGTGGGCGTGTTGACGGGGGATGTAGCGGTGATGGCGAAGAAGATGCTGGTTAGGTATGCAGGGCAGATGTTCAGCATATCGACCAGTTGCGTTCGGGTTTGAGAAGCAAGAAGGATGCCTATTCTTGAGGTAGCAGCGGCTCTTGTTGGTTGCTGGCACAATTGTGTAGAAGAGGTAGGAAGAGACTGACGCAGACGCAGAACCCCAATATATCCTCCCCGGGCGGCGAAAATGTGATGATATCACATTACATTGGCGTCCTTCTTTTCAATAATGACCACGACATGAACAGCACGATGCGTCCCTTCCAGCCCACTCCATCACACCCGAGCTTCACAACGCCCTATCAAAGCGCCGAGCAAAGTCGAGATTCCTGCCATTGAATGTGGTACTGAACAGCACTGTACGATGCTAAAAGCAGACATAAATAGACCTGACAGCATACTTCTCCCTTCCTTCATCGTTACACGTAACATCAATCGCACAAGAACTCACGCATCAACACAGCACGGCATCCATAGAATCAGCAACAACCAACACGAAGTCGCATCCCTCTCATACCACAATGCATCCACTCACCCTCATCCCCCTCATCATCACCGTAGCAACCTCTCTCCCCTTCGCCGTCAGCCCCAATCCAGACATATCCAGCCAAGACCAACCAGACTGTAAACCCGGAGCCGAAGGCACCACAGCCGGGGTCACCTACTGCCTAAGCACAAACTTCAACGCTCCTTGCGAATGGCACGCATATTACCCCGACCGAGACTTGTGTCTAGCTTTCGACGCAAACCCAGAAAGGCGCCCCCTTTCCATCCGCCCTCAGCACGGTGGGTACTGCGAGTTGTTCAAGGACAACAAATGTGGGGGTGATCCGGTCAGCATCTGGAAGGACGATACGACGACGAAGTTGGAGTGCCCGGGTATGAGTGATGCTGGGAAGCCGGATTGGTTTGCTAGTATGAGATGTAGGACGGAGGACGAGGGGACGGAGAACGAGGGGACGCAGAACTCGGATGGATCTCCAGGAGGGGAATACCAGGGTAGTGGGGGTGATAATTATCCTGGGAGGATCCCGCGCAGGTAGGTTTAGGTGGGCATTCGGGGCTGTTTATGGAAGCAGGAGGTAGATGGGAAGTTTAGAACGCGGTGCTTACATGCCAGGTTGGGCTTAGTTGACGTTTAGATCGTCTACTTGTGTTACGTTCGTATGAAATGGAACACTGAATTGATATATTCCCTGATATACATGTTGTATACAAATTATGAATGCAGTCCTAAAGAAGTAGTACCAAACGCATGAAAGATATGTACATCGCAGATAGCTAAGCCAGTAGCCACCGGCTTCAACTCAATGCCAAACCAATAACAATCCATCTATCTGCATCCAACCAATCCATACAAACCCGCTACCACCATCAAAGAAAGCAAAAATAAGAACCCAACACGCCGTGAGAAAAGAAGAAAACCCCCCCACACCACCGTCTAATCCTTCCTACACTTCATACTTTTAAACCAAATCGGGTTTCCCACAGCCGACAAGCCCGGACACTGAATCGGCTCCGCCCCCTTCCCCTCCCAAATCTCCACTGCATCATCGTCCTTGCAGTTCTCCTCTTTGTACAACCTGCAGTGGCCGCCTAACACGAATCCCAAAAAATCAGCAAATGCCCATAATGCGAAATGCACATATCGTCCAGATAGGGAAACAACTTAAAGTAAACAACTTACCCATATCGGGACCGATGGAGCGAGGTCTGTCTTTATATTCGCCGAAATTCTCGCACCATGGCTCTGATTCGAAGGCGCGCGAGTGGCACTCCTTTGTAAACGCGGGCCACACGCACCATTTTACGCTGGGGTTTTGGGGTGTCGCGGAGCAAAATTCGGGGGATTGGGAGGGCGCGAGGTATGGGCTTATTCCATGGTGGTTTTGGAGTATGAGGGGCATGGCGGAAGTGAGGGCGAGGCCGCTGAGGAGAGTGGGAAGTGTGAAGAAGTGCATTGTTAGGTGGTGGTAATGTGGGATGCTTGTCTTGGCTGTTGGTCTGTAATCTTTATTTGCTTCGAGTTCTGACGTGGCAGTGGTTGTGTTAATATAGATAAGTAAAGAGGAGCCAAGGGAGTATTTATGTACGCTCGACAGCCATACTCCGTTTGCACCACGCGGACATGTCAACGTCAAGTTGAAGATTTCACGTCGGGAAATCTTGACATAGCCTCGACTATGGAATAGACACTGTGTGATGGAACAACCAGCTACTGGTATCAAGACTTGCAGAACGTACGTGTCATGCCTATCACAAGTTTTGAGGAATTGAAGAACCTCCATTAACTCCCAGACTGTGTAACGCGCCATGACTCACTTCAGTGTGCGTTTCCATACTTCGGGTGCCATCTACTCTGTTGATGGTATTGCGTTAACGCAGAGCGACGACAAGCTACTTATAATTCCCGTAACATATCACTACTACATACGCAAAGATACTCCTCATCACATGAGAGAGATCGCAATTTTCAGACTCTTAAAAAGAGAGACTAGAATCCTTCGTCTCTGTAACGCGCCGTCCCTCCATAACCTACATCCCTTCCCCTATCCAATTCTTCCCACCTAGCCCCATTCACTCACCCACTATCCTCCTATCCTCTTTCTTCCTCTTTCTTCCTCTTTCTTCCTCTTTCTTCCTCTTTCTTCCTCTTTCTTCCTCTTCCCCTCCTCCACGCCCTTCCAACACTCCAACTACCGCCCACCCAAACACACCAACTTCTTCCCACCTGGGCATGCCCCTCTATCCGCCTTCTACTTTTTCACCTACCTTGCTATCGCAATCAGTGAAGCAGAACAGTTGTAGCACATAACCTGTGCCCTAGACTTGAACGTCTTTGAACAAAGTAAACACAAATGGTATTATCGTAAGCCGAAGCTAGATCTTCTATCCCCCCCTCTCTCACTTTCCCTCTTCTTTCCCCTATCCTTTTTTCCTTCTCTAGTACACAAGAAACAAGAGTCGAGTCAAGACAAAGGAGACATTGTATACACAGCCAAAATCAACACTCACATCAACGACGGGAAAACGTGTTGAACCTCAAAGATAAGAAGAAAAGAATACACACCACGTCTCCCTCTCCCTTCCCTTCTTCCCCCAACTTACTCCTCGAAACTAATAAGGCGCCCTCCCCACCCCACCCCCCGTCCCCACACTCTCCACCACACTGCCCCCCAAACTCCCATTCTCATCCTCATCCCCATCCTCAACCCCAATGCTATCCAAAAAGCCGGTAAAATCCGGTTTACTTCCCGCACCTCCAGTACCCCTTCTCGCCGTTCTCTCACCACTCCTTCCCCTACTAACCCCACTCTTGACACTCCTACTACGCCCAGCCTTACTTCCATTCGGCGCCGTCTTGGGTCTCGTCGCGAAATCGCGGGTATCGCTTTGACCATGGCCGTTTGGTGAAGAGCGCAGTTCTTCTGGGATGGGAGGGACAGGGGGGAGGTTTGTCATTGTGTAAGAACTTTGCCCCGCAGTCGCTCCACCCCCGGCATTATTACCGTTATTCGTGCCGAAGTTCATTCCCGTCGTTCCTTCCGGGCGGGGCGTAAGCGTCGCAGCGGGTGTAGTAGGAGAATCAGGATTTTGTCCTTGTTGAGAGTCGGTGGGTGGGTGTGTTGTTATGAAAGAAGCATCCGAAAGGGAATGCACACTAACGAGCGAGTCACTCGCTGAAGATGCGTGGTCGGAAGAAGATTTGCGGTGTCGGTGGGAGGGGGCGCGGTGCGAGTAGCCTGTTCGAGGGGCGCCGCCACCGGATGTGGAGAGTGCGCGGCGGAGATCGTCGACGCGGACTGTGGAACGCAGAGAGGAGGAGCTGTTTGGTGTGTCGCCTGGACTGCGGCTTCGGTTTGGCGAGGAGAGACGGCCTACCAGACCGTATGCAGCGGATGGGGGTCTGCTGTGTGCGCGCCTTGGGCTTTGGGCTGGCGAGCTACCATTGCTATCGAGGTTGCCGTTGGGGATGTTGACACCGAGGAAGTTGTTCTTCTGCGTAGCGGCAGTGTAGTGTGTGCCTGTCTTGGAACCAGAGATTGAAGCAGATGATGAATCTTTCGTGTGGGAAGATAGGCAGTCTTCGCGACTCCAGTTCGCCAAAAGATCTTCTCGGACCTTGAACGAAAGTTCAGGCGCGCTCTGCTGGCTCACAGGCTGTGTCGGTTGATGAATGGTAGGAATAGATGCAGACACCGTACGGCCAGGTGATCCCGGCGGCGATGAAGGTGGCGAGTATAGGGAAGTCGAATAACCTTCCGATATCTTCTCGACCAATGCCTCGCGGTTGTCAAAGGGTTTGAGCGCTTCGTTCTCCACAATCTCTGACGGAATAGCGACAGGTGTGGGGTGAGGTGTTTCTATCAGCTCGATCGGCATTGGCGGGACGCGTATGCTCTTCATCCAAAGACCCTTGCTGCTTCTGCGCGTGATCTCGTTGTGGAGGGCGCGACCGACAGAAGAAACCTCAAAGTCCAAGGTCATGCTGAGTGCCCAGAGGTATCCGTGTACCAAGCTTCCCAGGCGCAGCTTAGCACCGGGATCTTCGATGGTGACAATGTCCTCTTGCAGCCGCATGATCATTGGCAATCCGCTCCTCGCTGCGTTCACTCCGAGTCTGTTCACCAGAGTAGTGAGCAGTAAATGGAGGAGCAGGTAGTCCGCCTCAGAGTCGACATAGTGGAGCGCATTCTCGTATACCGCCAGATGGAGCAATGGCAAAAACGTGTCCCTACCACGTTTCGACACCCTCTCCCTGTTGGAAGCATTCGAGACCGCACGTCTAGCCAGCGCATTCTTTTCATTTTCCTTCTCCTTCCGCCTGTAGTTGTCCACAATCTTCAAATCTTCCTTGTCCTTTTCCGTGTTCAGCCAAGTGATCAGCGCATCGACGTATGCTTTCCTGACTTGACCACTCGGGTCGCGCAGGAGCCACTGTGTGCCTTCCCAAACACTCACGCCAACTTTGCTCCGCGACACAGAAGCCGATGAACCATCTGGTCTTCGGGTGTTCGCCGTCTTGATGATGGCCTTGACAGCATCGAGAGCCGTAATGCGTGCCGTTTCGAAGGAGAAGAATCGATCCACGTGAGTCTTCTCCTGCATACTGATGGAATCGGCAACAGCATCTATCGCACCTTCGGGGTTCTGTATCGCTTCGGTGGTGGAGGAAACGCTCGAGAGACGCGATGGCTTGAGTCGGCTTAGTATCGCTTCCACCATATCGGATATCTGATCAGTGTAGTATACGTGCGTCGCGAGATCCGCCATGCATCTCTGCACTGTATCCAGAAGCTGCATCCTCGCATCAGAAGGCTTCTTGACGACTTCCATAACGACACTATCCAGATTGGCCGTCGACGATTCATTGCTACCCTCCTTCTCCGATACGACCGATGTTGTCTGCTGATGATGCGGTACGATATTTGATCCCGGTCCGCCGAGTTGGAGGAGTAGCAACGAGTGAGAAATAAGTCCGACCAGAACATCCATGACGCTCAGTCCGATGAAGTTGATCGTAGAGGCTAGAAGGTAGTCGATGATCGTCGCCAGAGTCAGCTGCCGTTCGAGGTCGTCTTCCACGATTGGACTGCGGACCAGGGCTTCCACTGCGCCTACTAGGATTGTGTATCGGTCTTGTACGGGGACCCATGCGCAGATCATGGCCATGAGTGTAGTGGCCCAATGGCTGCTTTCGTTCGGTGCAGCTTCTTGCAGGCTCTTGACATGTGATCCGATGAACTTGAGCACAGCGGACGTCGCGAGCCGGAGCTGTCCTCTGTTCACACCCTGGAATATGCTCCTCAGAGCCTGGAGCGCGAGTACTCCCACCTCCTCTTCCGCAAGCTTATCCGCATCCTCCGTTGTACCGGATGCCGCAATCGGGTCGCCGTCGTCGTCGTCGGTCCGCGCGGTGGACACACTCTGCCGCCGTCGCAATGCCAGCTCCTTCTCATGTTCGCCCTTGGTGGCTTCCCGCGTCTCCAACCGCTTGAGATACGCGCCGCTCTCCGAGTGTATGTTGAGGAGTATGACTGGTATGACAGCGCCCAGTTGGCGCCCGGTCTCAGACCCCAGTGACTCAGACGAGGCAATGGCCTTCAGCGCCTGCAGCCCGGCCTTCCGGTATCTGATCGCGACGGGCCAGCTGACTGGAGCCTTGCCCGTCTTGACTGTCTCCTTGGACGCGAATTGGGCGTATAGTTGTACAATCTCCTCGTACTTCTTGATGTAGTCCTGGTCGGCTGCGAGGGCGGCGGGGTCCTGATGCGCGCATAGGGCTTCGAAGGTGGGCACCGACTCCTCGACCATAGTAACGTCGTTGGAATTGAGGATAGTGCGCAGGATATGCAGGACAGCGGTGGCATAGAGGGGGAGGTCGCGCGGGCACTTCTCAATCAGCGCCTTGATGATCTGCATGGTGACCTGCACATTGCCCGTCCGGACCTTCCACACATCCTTGGTCGCCCTCTTGTCCAGAAAGTCGACGACCTTTTGCAGCTTACTGCGGCGCGTGCTGGCGTAGAAGAGCAGGTAGCTCAACTCGCTCGAATTGGCCTTGGCCTCGGCATCGCTCTTCTGCACCTTGGGGTAGCATTTTAGGACCAGGACCTGGTGCTTGGGGCGACACGCCTGCCGCGCTGCGTTCATCGAGGCTCAGGGTGGTGACGTTGCGGGTTCGATCGAGGTAAGCGGCAGCGATTGACTGGGATTCGGAATGCGAACGCGAAATCGTTTTTGGCGGCAGCGGCGGCGGCGATGACGAACGGCGGGGGAGGTTTGGGCGAGGGATGGATTAGGATAGTTGGAAGTGGAATCAATGGGCGGCGGGAGGACTCAGGGTCGCGGCATTATTCGTGCAGCAACAGTTGTTCACTAGCCGCAGGCATGTGCGTGCAACGGACGATCGCGGGTCAGGGAGCGGACTAGGGGCATTTCCACTTCTGGGGTTTGCGCCTAACAACCACCATTTGCATCTAGTATCAAAGCTGAAATTCTTCAATCAAGCTACTCATAGTAAAAATAATGAAGCTGCTCTTGACCTCCTCCTCCACCCCACCTCCTCCCCGCCGCCTCCCCCACCCACCCAGCGGCATTATTCGTGCGGCAGGTCCTTCACTAGCACGCATGCATGTGCAACGGACGGTCGCGGAATAAGGAGTGGCTTGGGTGGATAAACATGATCGGCCGTATCCATGTCCGGCCCAGAGATGTGGTCACTGCCCAACGTTGCCTGCCAAGCCGTCACCAACACCACAACTCTGTTATACGCGGGACGTTGGTGAAACAAACGCGTCGGGTTAATGGGGAAGTGTTCTGGTTTCTTTTTCCTCTTTCCAACAACTTTTTGATATCTTTATACAGAGCCGAGTACTGTCTACATTTGACAACTCTTCGAGTGGTACTTCTTATACACTTTGGAAAGTTTGATGCTTTTCCCCTTCCAAGGCGTGTTGTTGAACATTGAAACATGTATATTGCTTTCCAACCTTTCGACCCCATAGCCTCCCACACGCCTTCTCCCCCACAACCCCATATCCCCTAGTACTTAGGACTATTCTTATTCCCAATATACCCCCTCTGCTCCCACCTCTGCCCCTCACCCCTCTTATCCCTCCTATCATCCAACCTCCTAATAGGCAACTCCGCATCCGGATCCGGCACCAAAAACCCATCCGTCTCCTCATCCCTCTTAAGCCACTTCTTCTCCTCTCCACTCAGTACCCTCTTCCCGCCCTTCCCATGCTTCGCCCTCGCCTGCTCCCTCGGCAACCCCGTATTAATACTATAATCCTCCAGTCCCTGGTTCCGCAGCTGCTGCCGCATAATCCTTGGTAACATGGCCTGGTTCCCCGATTTGATGGATGAGGTCACAGAGTCCTTGATGCGGAAGAGGCGTTTGTCGAGGTTGATGGCTGGTTCTGCTTTGTGGCCTGCGACGGCGACCCATTGGACGAGGCGGCCGTCGGACACGGGGTTTATCAAGTAGCGCGTGTCTTCGGGCATGCTCTTCATGATGATTTCCGGGCGCAGGTGCGGGAAGTGCGTGTGCATCCATAGCCAGCGCTCTGGTCCTGCGGGCTTGATGCGCTCTTCTTTCAGGAGCATCTTGCCCTGCAGGCGCAGCCGGAATTCGACGGCGTGCCCGGCTTCGATGAATTGGTAGGCGCGGTCCATGCACATTCTGAAGTATTCGACGGGGCTGGATTCGTTGAGGATGATGTTTTTCAGGCCGCCGATTTGTTTGCCTTTTTGCCCTGCGGTCTTTGGGGCGCGGTATGTGTAGGCGTTGTGGATGGCGAAGTCTTGCAACTCTTCGGGTATTGGCCGCTCTGGGTCGTCGATGTGTGTCTTTGCCATTCCTTTTTTAATCTCGCCGAGGCAGTAGAGAATTTTCCCGGGTCCGACATGTTGTGTGAAGAGTTCTTCGAAGGAGGCGCTCTCCGCTATTACGGACAGCTTCTTAGCCTTCTTGTCTGTCTGCCATAGTTTGACTCGGTGCTCTACACTTCGCAGTGGCGCGAGAAATTCAATCTCCCACGAGCTAAAGTTGAGAACTTTGTGCTGTCCGAGGACGGTCTTGGCCTTGGCCGTTTTGTAGAGGTTGAGCGCGCGGCGCTGCTCGAGGCGCTGCGTGGGACAGGCGGGGCGCGGTACGTGAGGGGCGCATTGCGGGCGGTACAAGGTTTGGAGGGCGCGTATCGGGATTCGCACGGGCGGTAGAAGGAGCGATCGGAATTCGATAGTGGGTATGCGCATTCTGGGTGCCATGGTGGCGCGATGAGAGTTTGTATAGACCCTGTGCGAGACGAAAGACGCGACACCTGACTCAGGCCGCGCTATGATCTTTTGGTTCATGACGTCGCAACAACAATCACTTGGCATGCCGAAACTAGCACGTGCAGTTCTAGGTACTCCGTCTGCCTTGTCATGAGTTATCGAGCAACACTACTATGGAGAGCCGATTGTATATTTCGCAACTGTATCTACGAAATCTTTAGTCCACCAAACGTCCCAAAGCATCCATCCCGTTCACTCCATGAACACCGTCTCTACCCCTATGTAATAATACCGCCTACGTCCACATCGGCACCGAAAAATTCGTACCCACCTCATCACCCCCTAGATACTGCGTCTCAGGCGCAGGCGGAAAGACAGCCTCCCAATTAATGCCCGTGCCAAAAACATATGGCGGATCGTTCCAAACCACATCACCAAACTCCATTGTGGGTTCTGGTATGTACGGCGCTGCATCTGCCTCAACAAGAGAATCATATCTGTGTTCCCGGCCAGTCACGTTGGTTGGTACAGCTAGGGATGGCCTCTGGAAGGCCGGAGTGGCTGCGGGAAGGGGCGTGGCTTGGTACGAGCTATTTATAGAGCTGGCACTTGCACGTCGGTCTGGGTTGGAGGGTGGGGAAGATGGCGGCTGCGCTTGGTTCAGTAGGTCGTGTTCGCAGCGGCGCACTATTTCGGCCACGCGCTGCAGGAGCTGTTGCTCGGCTAGAGTGGGGACTTGTCCGGATTCCATGAGTAGCTCTTCTTGTACGCGGCGCAGAAGATCTCTGCGGAAGCGTCGCGAAGTTTCGCTCGGCGAGTCGCAATCGTAGACTGATAATTGTTAGTAGGTCAAAGATCCAGCGTGGCGCGATGGCTTACAGGGACTGGGTATCTCGGCGGCAGATACTTCTGGGAAGAGAACCTGATACACATCTCTCCATTTGTCTTCTTCTAGTCTCAGCGCGGTGGTGCGCTTCCTCAGCGTCCACACAGTTTCGCGGTCGATCCCTTCGATCTGTTGGGGTAATGATCTCTCGCATTGCTGCAGACGCACGTGACTCGATTGCTCCTTGTCTGACTTGAAGGTCGCGTAGCAGATTGGACAGAATATCGGTTGGGAATGTGACCGGTAGAGATGCTCTTTCATTCGATGAACGGTTGGCCAGCCAGGCCCGGGACAGGTTCTCCTGTTGCGATGCCGATCCGGGTCGTGTTTGTAGAAAGGACATGCGAACCTCGCACCGGTTTCGGACTCGTCGGTAGTGGTCGTTGATCCACGACGTCGCTTGCTTGAGCCGTCTTCGTCATCATCTTCTGGCGGTGGGCTGCCCTCCAAACGGGACTTGCGCTTTGAGCCTGAGCTCACAGACGTCTTGCGGCTACTCTGACCCGAAGGCAGCGTGGATCTAGCTTGGCTGTGCGCGGCGCTACGTCCGGTACATTGCTTGTAAGCTGCATTGCGGAGGTTGATTTCGACCTTGCGCAGGATGAGCTCAATGATTTTCTGCATGGGTGCTGGAGATGGTTGTATCGGCCGAACGTCATGCTCCGTTTCGTCTTCACTGACGTCCGTGTTGGTATGCATGTCGCAAGAGCTGGTGGATGAGATGGAGACGATGGATGTTACTCTCTCTCGGGGACGCTTGGCGGATGGAAGATTGTCGTCGATCCACCTCTCTATATCTTCGTCTTCCGGTGCTGGCCTCTCTTTAGGGCTGTCCTTACGTGCACAATCAATAAGAATCTTGACAGATCCTATTTTTGGAGCTTCTGGAGGCGTGGTGTCGAGGAATGTCTGGTTGGTGACGACTTCTGCAGGGTTGCTGGTGATGTTGTTCTGTCCAACCAACCATGGCCTATCGACGGTGCATCTCTTAAGAAAGGTAGCCTTGTTGTTGACAAGAATGCTCGGCACACAGGAAGGAGGTCCGAAAAATATGTCTGCTGCGCCGTTAGCGATCTGAGCTCCCGCTAGAAATTGTAGTAGGCAATACCCTGATCCAACGTTCCCGCATCCAAGGGTGAGAGAGAATCAGGATCGCTATTGTAGCCCGAATCACGGGTCCTTGAAGACGACAGCGAATCCCTTCTACATATTCGTTTGCTTGTGCTCAATCTTGGTAGGCCGGCTTGCGCATGGCTACATGATGCCATGGCGAACATTGCGCAAAGTTGTTAGAGGCGTCCGAGGGGAATGCTCGTGTTCGCAGTTGATAGAATAAGGCAGGGTGTGAGCAGAAGGAGAGGCAACGTTGGTGAAGACATCGCGGTCTTGAAGGATGCCTGACGGCTGTCACAAGCAGTCAGACCCACTGCGCGAATGCGCAAACGTGGGAACAGGGTGTAGCTGACGAATTCCGCCCACCGGTCATCATCCGGTCTCCAGGCACGGGAGGCCCGACTGCCAATCGTCGCAAGTCATAATGCGTCGGCACAACGGCGTTGCGGCAGATACGGGTTCAGGGTTGAGCATCAGGGCGTTGTGGCTGAGCAATATTGATGAGTGCCCAGGTGAGGTGTTAGCAGACCCAACCAGAACTTGGGCAGTTGATGTTAGTAGGACGAATCCCGCGGAGGATGACGACGATAGATGCACCAATGAGGCTTTCAGGGTTGCGCTAGGCAGGCGCTAAGGACGAATCGGAATGTGGGGTTGTGACATTCTCGACTTCAGCTGCACCTTATTCATCTCTTGGAAAATGGCTCTTTCCTGATTGCATCGCAAGCTGCACTTCGGGGTGTTTCACTTACAGATCATTGGAAAAAGTTGGATTCTAGGCAGGGCGAAGGCCGCGCATTGCCTTCAGCTTCGCAATCTAGAACACACGATCTTCAATGTTGCCTCCTAGTCATCTCATCGACATATAGACAGTATCACCAAAGTCGTTCGACTCTTGACGCCAAGCATGTCAGAGATCGCAGCATCACCAATGAATCAAAGCTTTGTACCACAGCTATAGAGAAGTTGCCTTTCCCGCAATGCCGCATTGCGTTCGTAGGTGTTTCCGAACGCTAAACATGATCTCGCAAACACCATCTATACTCTCCGCCGATAGCACTCCCACGAGTCATCCATGACGAACCTTTGATATTCCATGCAACTCGGCTCATTGAACATCTCCTTCCCTAGTATCGCCTCAACCTTCCCCCTCCAAAACTCACTACCCTCAATATCCTCAACAAAGCTCATAAGGCGCTGCTCCAGCCCGCTTTTACGAAAAGAATACCGCGGCTTTCCCATGTGCTTAGCCACGAGATAGAAGATAACGGGCAACATATCCGTCTCCTTGAACTCGCTCAAGCTTCTGTTGGCTCCATGACCCAGCTGCATAAGACATTCTTTATGTATATGCCGGTTGTACTCCGCGCCGTGGTCGAGCATGTACTTGACAATCGAGATATTTTCGAACTCGATAGCGCGTATAATGGGAGAGCCTGCGTTGATGGAAACGCCGTGTTCGAGGAGTACATCGATGATGTGACGTTGGAGGTACTGGGCGGCTGTTTGCATGCAGGATATACCCAAGGTCTGTTCGACTTTAGTCTTGTACCGACGGGCTATGTCAGAACCTGCTACGGGACCCTCCCGCTGGAAGCAGTTGGGGTTATGGGCAATGAGGTGTCGAAGGATATCTACTTGGCCGTACTCGCAGGCGAAGAGCATCGCATATGCCACAATGTTCTTCGCGGATATGGGGGCAGTACTCCCGACTACCGCCATAGCTGTTTGAAAAGTCTCCATACAGCCGGTCTTGACAGCAGTCCCGATCCATACTTCAGCACAGGCTAGATTGACGTGAGTCAAGCTGGAGTCCCAGATTCCATTCTTCCTAGCGACTACTGCCAACGTAAGAATTGTTTGGCGGTGTTTGGATTGAATAGCCGCGTTGAGGATGCACTGGAATCGGTGCTTGAAAGTGTCGGTCCACTTTTCTGCACCTCCGAAGTCTTTAAGCGCTTTGAGTAGATGCTGTACGACTTCGATGTGTCCATTAGACGCTGCTGCTCGAAGAGGATCTGCGTAGACGTTGTCATTGGTTGCATGCTGTCGGAAGTATGGCCACGACGGCCAGTCTGATTCGTTGTCCTTGAGAAGTTGCTTGACTGCACACAAGCTCCCCACAGCGGCAGCGCAAGTTAAGTCGGCACGTTCTGTGGAACTAGAAAGCGGATAGTCGCTGGGCGAGCGAAGTGCCCGATTGATAGCTGCTAGCTTGCCTCCTCGGGTCAGATACTGGAAGATGTACTCGACGTATTGAGTTTTGGTCTTCTCATCGTAGGGATGGCCTTCGATCTTGAGGACCGCTTCAGCGCGTGTCTCAATAGAGGTGACAAGCGGATCGTTAAAAGCTTTTCGAACAGTGCTCTGTAGGATTTCGGGGAGCATGTGATGTAGAACTCTCTTATCAGCTTCGCAATCTCTGGAATCTTCCTGAAAAGATTCGTATTCATAGTCGAAGTAGACATAACGCAAGTGATTGGCGATCTGATAGCGAATCTTGTGGTCGAATACCTCTACAAAATGTTAGCGCATACGGATTGATACCATGATACCGATGTAGATCTTACTACAAACTGCACGAGTAGCTGAAGCTTCACTGACACGAACAGTGTGTACATAATTGACAATTATGTCGTGGAAGATGTCCTCTGGGAGTTGCAGCAGTGGGCTTTCCGATGCCATGATCTTGGATTGGCCAGCCATCGTCAATCGAGTGACTGTGGTGCGATGGTTGAGTGTCGAAGAGTAAGGTACAGTTGAGCGTTAGAGATTTCGCGGTGGTCAGGTTAGGAGCAAGGTGGAAGGTGGAAGGTGCAAGGCGGAAGGAGGCAGGCGAGCATTTGGCCATACTTTTGCAGGCGGCGAGAACTGCAGTTGAATGCATTGTAGCAGTCCATTGTGAAGGTAAAAAACAGTGACTTGAAGTGAATGGGTTCGACTTTTGGAAGGAAGTTTGGTGAACACCGGCGTCTCGCCAAGGATGCAAACCACGAGAATGTCGGCTGAGCAGGAAGTCGAAGATGCTGGTCGTGTTGTGTGATTACTTGAGGAACGGATATCTGGTCGCCGCACGCACTTGCAGCATCACTCTGTACATCAGAAGCGGGAGGTTATTCGAACCAGGATCAGATCGCATTCTGAGTCAAACGCTATCCATTGTGGAGGTTGTGCCCAGGTGTGTTCGTGATGGGTCGAGGGTTCCTTCCCTATCAACACACGCGTCATCGCCACCATCCGTGCGCAGCACACAGTAAACCTCACAGCACCATTTAAGGAAGCTGCCCAGGTGCAGGGCAAACACAACACACAAAAACCTGCCAACCCCCAGCTTTCACGCGCACTCCTCATCAACAAGAAAACAACGGGCCCATAAAGGCCCTTTCGATTCCAAAGTGCCATGGTGATACGATAAACTAGATGGGTATGTTCATACCCAAGAGACAGCTGTCCGTAGACAAAATACGGCTGTCAACTCCAGACACCATGCCAGTAAAACAATGGAATACCAGCTAAACCCATGAACCTATGATGGTACAGCTTCGCCCTCCCTGGGGCAAAGAATACCATACCATCGTATACCAATCCTATACCCATACCATCGCATACCAATCCATACCAATCCATCCCATACCCCATCCCCAACGCCCCCCAAACCCCAGACCCAAGACCCTCCTCTGGACACCGATATCCTATCCTTCCTTCCGCTCAAGCCGACCTATCAACCATACTAAGTACTCCATCCCCTCAAACAAACATTAACATCTTGCCGTCGGGCCCGTGAAGACGAGAAAAGGGTGAAGAACCTACCGATTACTGCGGCGACCCGGCAGCGGAGGCGGCACCAACGGGTTTCCATAAGCGTCTGTGCCCAGTGTAACGCGACAGTCTGGACAGTACCATTTGGCGCGGCGGGAAGGGATGTCGTCTTCGGTCATGTCCATGCAGGGGAGATGGAACCACTCCTTATCGCACTGCGATACTTTGTTAGTGTCGGTTCTACATGGGGGAGGATCATTGCTACTTAGCGAGAATGAACTTACGTTATTATCACACGATATCATCTGCCCGTAACTAACGTCGTCGCAGATACAATATCGGGGCTCATTGGGATCGATATCGTCGGCCTGCTCCGCCTCTTCTTCTGCCTTTTTCTTCCTCTTGTTCTTGCTGCCTTGGGCGCGTTTGACGTTTGTCACTGTCTTTTGGCCGTCTTCTGCATTCGTGACTTCACCTTTTGGAGGAGGCTTCCGCCGGCTACTAGTGCGGGTAGGTGGGGGTGGGGGTGCAGGTACTGTGAGCGTGGTTGCCGGTTGGCTAAAGACACTATGACGACGGGTTTCGCGAGTTATCCTACCTTCTTCGTTCGGCTTGGGCTCTTCGCTTTGCGCCTTGGGTGTAGGGACGTGGCCGCGTGCAGAGCGAGGGCGTAGGGTTGGTGCTGCAGGTGTCTCGGGGCGGGGCTCAGGCACGGGTGTCGGTGTCTTTGAGGACTTCGTGGTCGGGAGAGTGGCCACGGGCGGGGTGGGAGCTTTCGGAGCAACGGATTCGCGTTTGGGCCTGGTTGAAGCTGCTGTTGGTGCTGAGACTGAGACTGAAGCTGGAGGGGTTGGGGCTTTGACAGGTACTGGTGATTGCGGAGCCTGTGCCACAGCAGGTGACTCCTCTGGCGGTACCGGCGACGTTGTAATGGGTGTGAGCTCAGGACTTGCCTCTTTCGAAACGGCCTTGTTGACTTTCGGTGTGCTTGGACCTGCTGGCGCAAGCGGCACTTGCACGGTATTCCCATTCGTCGATGGCTTTGCAGGCTCTGGGACTGGTACCGGTGTACTTACTCTTGGAGAGGGCACAACAGAGGCCGTCCGATCGCGAGGGGTGGACACGGTCGAGTTGGGGGTCGGTATCGGAGAGGCGACGGAACTTGGTGCTGGAGCGATGAGCTGCAGACGTGCGCGCTTGGGTTCTGGCGGCCTTGACGCGCTGTCTTGAGTTGCTACCGATGCTTCTCTGGTGGTCTCGATGGCGCCGTCGGTGGCGGGTGGAGGGGATGCATCGCGCTTCCGCTTGTTCGATAGCCTGAGCGGAGTTTTCTTCTTCTGATTCGCAGTTGCAACACTAGAGCTGAAGTTGAGCTCCGTAAGCTCCTTAGCAGCTTCTTTTACCTTCTCAGAAGTGGCAATGAGCTCCTGGGCATCGTGCATAGCCTTTTGGCGCTGTGACATGCGGTCGAGCTTTCTGCCTTCTTTTGCCGCGACAGGCTTGAGGCGGATGCTGACTGGACCGGATTCTTCCCTGGAATCTTCCTCGACACACTCGATGGGCGGGGGTGGATTTGCTGCCTGCGGGCCATGCGGTGCCAAAAGGCCCAGACCAGAAGCTGTCATAATCTGTTGCAGCGTCTCGGGCTCTTCGTCGAGGAAGTGTTCGCCTGTCGCCTCGCAGCGAGCCTTTTCCCTCTCGTAGTCGGCCTCTGTGCGGTGCTTCTTCTCCAGCTCGCGTATCATCATGGTCTGACTAGGAGTCCATACAGCGTTCTTCTTCATCTGCTTGCGCAGGACGGCCATTTCGTATTCTGTCAGCTTCTTCCAGGGCGCCCATTTGCTACCGGGTTTCGCGTCGGCTGGCGGTGGGGCCAATTGTGCGAGCGCATTGCTAGTGGATATGCCGGCGATGGAACTGTGCACGTTGGTACCGAGTACGCCAGCAGCGCGCGACCTGCCCCCAGTTGCCCTTGAATGTCTGTCCCGGTTGTCCTTGCGCTTCCTGGGTGATGCCACATCGATGCCCGAACCACCATCTGAGTCTGACGAGTATGTTGCACCGCGACGCCCACGTCCGCGTGGCAGAGGAACGGCGGTCTTCCTGTGCCTGTCTCGGGGTCGTGAGGTGTTGGCGCCATGTCGGCCGCCATCGAAGGTGAGGCGCAGATGGGCGGGGCGTATGTAGTCGCGGTTTACGGGTCGGTGGGCGCTGGGAGAGACTGGCGGGGGCGTCGGGTCGCGTGAGGGCGGCTGTGGCTGGGCTTGGAGTTTCCGCTTGATGACTGATGAGCGCTGGCAGTGGCGGACAGTGACCTCATACAGCCGCGACGCTTCTGTGTAGGCAAACTCTCGCTGATTGATGGCCTTTTGAAGATGCTGGGCGATGTTCTTGCGTAGTAATACCGGATCGGGGCGCTCTTGCTCGGGGAGGGCGGGCAGCTTGCCATACTGGACCGTCAGCTCGTGCACCTGCTGGACGGCGTCCGAGTAGGTGGAATCGAGGTCGGCAATCAGCGTCAGCGAGCGCACCAGGTCCGACGGGAAGAATTCGGTGTAGTCGAGGAAGTCGTTGACCGTCGTCTGGGCGTCCGGGTTCGGGGCGGGTTGGGCCATTTCTGGCGCATCGTCGGCTTCAGACATGGCGCATCGCGGGGAGGCAGAGTAGATGGAGGGTTGCGACGCACGCGTCAGACTCTCCAGCCACGCGTCAACTAGAGTATTGAGGAGAATCAGCGCGATCGTGAGGGCGCGAGTTGCGATATGCGCTGACAAGATAGGGCGGCTGATGGGAGCTGGTCGCACTGAGGTTCGCGGAGGGAGTTCGTGCTAGCCGCTTTGGGCGCGCCTCTCGTCGATCTCTCAGGAACGCCCATGCGCTTGCGAGTTTGCCCAGCTGCCGGCTCGCAACTCCCGCCCGCCCCGCAACCTCCAGGGCTCATCTGTGCTTAGCACTGTATAGTCATTCACTTCTGTGCGTTATTTCTTAGCACCCAGAACATGTGTCTTACTGACTCTGGGCCTGGGAAGGCTTTGACACTCTATCTACCCCTAAGTTTCTCTACGCATGACGACTCCTTGTGCCGTCGAATAAGCAAGCATCGGCATATGTAAGCTGGATGCATCATAATCGCTTCCTGCTCTAAGTTGGTATGTACATTCTACAGGTAGTAAGAGATGCATTTTTCGTGATCGTGCGCATTGGAGCATGTGTCTTCTCATGTCTACACCATGCGCCTTCCGTTGACACATTTCCTTCGCAACGACCACTGTCAAATTATGTCAGACTCTCTTTCCAGTCGTCATGTCGCATGACTCATTTTACTGTTGGAGGTCTGGGTGAGGCTTCTCTCACCGCGCCTGTCGTTTGCTCCTCCCTCATCCGTCTGTCTAAGCGCGATCCCCGCATATATCTTCGCGCTTTCTATCGCAAACAATTTCCACCAATTCTATTCGTCAAGCAACCACCATGGCTGCGGCACGGCTACAGCGTCTTCAGAGGTCCGTTCAAACAGACCTCGATGCTCTTCCTGACCGCCCCGTGTCTCCACAACCTGAGCCCAACCCAGAACCCAAACCTGACCATGCCAGCTTCAACGACTCCACTGGTGGTGTATCGCTGGAGAACGCACCGCCGAATGCGCCTGCTAGCAAACAAACCTCAACCAGTAAGATCGATACGTCCATAAAGACACCGCCTGCCGTCGAGAACTCCGAGCGCCGTTACGTCTGGGTCAAAGACGCCGATAGCTCCTTCAACCCAAATCTGGACTCAATGCGCCTATCCACCGCCTCAGTCCCAGCTCCTCAAACTGATGCCGCTGGCCTTCCGGCTACCGATCTACAACGTGGCGACCTAGCCTCACCTCGACATCACTTCACTCCCATCCAGGCCCTATCAAAGTTCCCTTACAAGTATTGCGATAAGAGTCATATGCAAAACATTGCATCTGCCTTCTTCGATCAAGGAAAGTTTTGGCAGCGAGAGTGGGACCTGTAAGTTCACCTCACATGATTACCCTGAAGAATATCACCGCACCGCGACGACTCTCACCCCTCACTTGCTAACCTCACCAGGTACTACGTTTGGGACATCGAGGAGACCTCCAAGCCCTTCGTACTCGTTCGTGAGAGTCAAGTTCTAGCCTTGCTTGGTGAGATCAACAAGCACCTCAATCTCTCTTTGAGAATCAGCGACCAGCAGCGCGAGGAGGTAACATTACCCGCTCATGCGTACTGCCGGAAGAGTTAGACTGACATTTGTCTCCAGGGCCTACTCGTACAATTCCCCGATCATCCCCGCTGTTTGCCTCGATACCTTGGACGCTCGCACTCGCGCGAAGACGTCGATAGCATGGCCGAGAACGCCCCCAACGAGCACTTCCGCGCGGCAGGCGAATCTTCACATCCACCGCTCGAACAACCCACTCTGGAGGACTTCAAGCAACTGATGGAGAACCTGGCTGAAGCACAGAAGGCGAAGAACAAGGCGAACAAAGCAAAGAAGCAGCAAGAGCGATTGGGCAAGAACAAATCAATGACGGATCAGTTCAAACGCGCTTCAAGGTATCTCGGTCTACGCGATTCTATCCAGGATCCGACATCGTCCACCTTGTCTCCGGCAGTCGACCCATCCCAGCCAGCTCCATTCTCTTTCGATCAGTCTGTCGTCTTCGTCTGTGTTGACGTTGAGTCGTACGAGAGGGCCCATCACAAGATTACCGAAGTTGGCGTCGCTACCCTAGATACCCGTGACCTGGTTGGTGTTCCGCCTGGCGAGGATGGCACGGCCTGGAGAGAGAAGATTCGCGCTCGCCACTTTCGCATCAAGGAACATCGCCACCTGGTCAATTCCGAGTTCGTTGCTGGACATCCCGACAGTTTCAAGTTCGGTCAATCAACCTTCATATCCCTCAAAGAAGCTGCGAGTCATGTCGCGGCCTGTTTCCACGCCCCTTTCGCAGCTGAAAATGGCGATGACTTCCTCAGCCACTTTGATCCCACGGAGAAGCGTAACATTGTCTTTCTCGGCCATGATACTCTGGGCGACGTTCGCTACCTCCAGCAACTTGGATACGACCCGATGAAGGTAGAAAACATCCTCGAGGCCATGGACACCGCGACCATGTATAAAGTCTGGCGTCGGGAGCAGCAGCCTACCAGTTTAGGCCGGATCATGAACGCCTTCAATGTCCCCGCGTGGTTTCTTCATAACGCGGGCAACGATGCTGTATACACTGTGTGGGCTATGCTAGCCATCTGTGTGAAGGAGGCTACACTCCGCGGCTCACCAGAGTTGGACGATCTCCGAGAGAACGAGATGAATGCTAAACTCCAGGCCGCTCTTGAGGATGCCGAACAGAGGGTGAAGGACGATGCCGAGGGTTGGAGCGATCATGAAGCGACTGGAGACGGTGGCGTACCTGTACCCCTTGCGACTGCTCTCGCACCGAAGCCAGCACAGCCCGCGGTGAAGGCTATTCCTCAGTATGACGGTTATTCGGATTTCGGTATGGACACAGGTCGTGGTCGTGGATATCAAGCTTCGAGCGGATACCGCGATGGTACTAGACAGGGAGCTTCTCGTGGACGGGCAACCAGTCATTCACAAGGAAATAGTCGCGGTCGCGGTCGTTCAGGCTCGCCCAAGGGTGCTTCTCGGCCAGAGGCTATTCCCAAGGTGGACTACCACTGGTAGGCAGGAAGTTATGGTAGCGGTCAGCGCACATTGGAGGTCACTCGGATATTGAAGGCGTGGTTCTGGGCAGTCGTGTAGTCCTGCGATGGGAGATGCGGAGGATAAGTCATTGGGAATGAATGATCAAGTCTACATGAATCAAATCATGAATGTAACCTCAATCTCACACTGTATCCCTGAAGAAGACTTACCAGGACATGCTCATATGAAATCCAACAATGGTACCGTACCAGACGCTACGCCTTCAGCACACCTTCCACAACCTTCAGAACCTCCACCAACTCCTCATCCATCAAACTCTTCCCCACAACCTGGACATGCGTCGGTAAACCCTCGCACTCATCCGCATCATCTGCAGCACACGTTAGTCTTCATTCTCCACTTCTTCGACAAAGACACTTACAAGGCGGTTCAAACGCCACGCCCTCCTTCAAAAACTCCTTATCAGCCCCTTTCTCCGCTGTCCCAGCTACCAGCACCCCACTCGGCCAATTCAAAAGATTGACCACGACCGTGTAAATCGGGAGACCGTAGGTATCATGCTTTGGCGCGACACCCTGGTACCCCGGCATGAGAACGGCATCTAGCCCCTTCTCCCCCTCACCGCCAATATCACCAACCATTAACGCATGCCACTTCCTGACAACCCCCGCCTTCTGCACATTCAAATCCCACAGCTCATCCAGGCTAGGCACCCAATCTTTCAACTCGGGGAACGAGCATGTTGATAGCGAAGGAACGGGCGGCTCGCCTCCATCTTTGATATACTGCAGTGGCGTTTTCTTAGGGTCCAACATGAAGAATTTCCATGCTAGCAGGGCGGTTTGATACAGATCCGGTATCTTGTCATCGAGGAGGACGATCTCGTGGCCTTGCGCTTTGAGTTTCATCGCCGTCATATGCAGCGCACGCGCAATAGGCGGATGAAGCGGCCTCTCCTTACACCCCCTCACCAGCCCGAACCGCAGGGGCGTCGGCGAAGGCTGGACACAGCGCCACGGCACGTTGAGACTGTTTTCGTCGTAAAGCCACGGTTTCGCGTCGCCTACACTCCTTAAGAAAAGCTCGTAGTCGCGGACAGAACGGCCACACGGTCCTATAACCACGGGAACAGACCCTGGACTACCCAGCCGACCGACTGCAACACCACCTGCAAACGGCACCCTCCCTGCCGTTGGCTTCAAAGACGAGCCGCCGCAGCATATCGCGGGGATGCGGTTTGAGCCTGCGACATCGGTTGCCACGCCTAGGACGCTGCCTTTCATAGCGAGGAGGGCGCCCTCGCCGCCTGTGGAACCGCCGGCTGTGTGGGAGAGTTTGAGCGGGTTCAACGTGCGGCCGAAGATGTTGTTGTGGGAGTCTGCTGTCATCATTGTTTGGGGGAGGTTGGTTTTCACGTAGAAGACTGCGCCGAGTGTGTGCAGGAGGGTTACTAGGGAGGAGTTTGAGGCGGAGGGGGGGCGCGCGAGGAAGGATATGTAGCCGAGGGTTGCTTGGACGCCGCGGATGTTGAAGGAGTCCTTCAAACTTATCGGCAGCCCATGCAACGGTCCCATAACCCTCCTTTCTCTCTTCAGAAAATCATCGCATTCCCGAGCCCGGGCGAGTGCTTCGTCGAATAATATCTCCGTCAAGCAACTCACACACTGCTGCGCCACAGCTGCTCTCTTGCAGAATGCCGTTACCACTTCTGTACTTGTCAATTGGCCCTCTGCCATCATCTTGACCAAATCGGTGGCATCGTAATTTTCAGTAATGTCTAGCTCTTTCTCGGTCAAGATGCCGCATGTTCGCGGTACATCTAGCACAGATATACTGGACGTTTCTGTGTACTTCGATGTTTGCGAAGAAGGCAGTCGCCAATCTTCTGGTATCTTTGCGTACACGGATTCGCGTTTTGAGGCGGCGAGGGTGCGCCAGTCGGGTATGGATGGTGGTGCTGCGGTCATGGTGGTTGGTGATGGGATGACTGGGGTTGGACGGATGGGATCAGGGTTATTCAAGTCAGAGTTGTCAAGCAACGAAGAATGAGTATGCAAACGGGGTTTTGAAGTAAGAAAAGAGCAAATCGCAGCGGTGAGGATGCAATAGCGAAGACGCTACTGTGTATCATTGTTACATGCTGATGATGAGGGGTTTGGGGGGCTATGGGGAGCCGGCCGAGGTTGCCGAGTCGGAGGGAGATCCCGGAAGGCGTGCAGCGTGGGGATATGTGGGTATGTACTGGGGTAGTCAGGTGCGTATGATGACTTTGTCCGGCATGTAGAGTAGGTTGTTGTTTGAAGAACTGCCAGAACTTTATTTGGATCGATGTCAGGATGTCCAACGTAAAGATTTCGCTAAAGCTACATAAGCTCTCATGAACGCTTGAACTGGGTGGCACCATACCAGTAGAAATCTAAAGAACGCCCATGGTCTGATTAGAACTGCTTTGAGGATGTGTTCGCTGTATCTGCTACACTCCTCAATCCCTCCTCCTCCCACTCCTCTCGTGTGGTGACCTGCTTCTCGTGTCCTTTCGCCGTCTCCGGTCTCTCGATAGTGACCTCGATCGCTTTACATCGACATCGCGTTCGCGCCTGCGCTCTGTATGGTCATCTCGTCGCTTGTGGTCGCGGCTTCGTGATCGGTGTCTGCGCCTCTCATCGCGCCCATCATCTCTCCGTCTGTCGCGCGAGCGTGAACGTTCTCGGTGTCTGTGGCGCCGCTCTCTGTCCCGCGAACGACTCCGCGATCGATGACGTCTCCTTCGCTCTCCATCGTCGTCTCTGTGTCTGCGTGAACGCTCCTTCTTCTCCCTCCTCTTCGCCTTGTCGTCATCATCCTCCACCTTGGCCTTCTCGTCTAGCGTGTCCTTGACATCTGCCTCATGTGCCTTCTGGCCGAGTGGCGTCAGGTTCGCGTTGTTGCGTACTGGCACGGGCAAACCCATGGCAGCTAGCATAGCGTCTTCCTCAGCCTCCTTCAGCTTGCGCTTCTCTTCCTTGATGCGCGCGGCTTCGGCTTCTTTAGATTCCTCGTCGCCCTTTGCGTACCAGTTCAGGTCGCGTCCTTGTTGCCAGCGACCGACGGGGGCCATGAGCGAGTGGCCCAGGTAGTTTTCGCGTTGCGCATCGTTCTTGACGTCTTCCCATTTGAAGTCGGCGCGACCGCCGCTGGGTGCTGTTAGCTAGCACTTCAACATCGAGAACAATCAAACTTACCGGCTGCCTTCTTTGCGCACTGTCTGTACGAGATCCATGGTGTTGAGTTGTCGTGGTAGTGGTATGCAGAAGACGGCGCAAGTCGATTGCGGCCAACACGCGGAGGTGAGAGGCCCGTGCCACCTACCAGTAGCTTCTCCGTCACCACCTGGGCAACCTTCAAGAGCTTCCAGACAGCCCTAACACTCCTCACTCACAAACCCACCGCCAACATGCCTCCGACACTCCCACCCCCCGACGAGCAAGAATACGATGCGCCCTCTACTATCGCGACTCTGCCTGGGCAAGACCTGAATGCCGGAAACAACCTCTTCTGGTACTTCACCTCGTCGCCATGGTTCGACGCCGAAGAGTGCATCAACATATCCGTCTTCACTAACCTCAACCTCCATGACCCGGCCAATGCCCAACAAATCATGAATGACCCGACGCTGTGGAATCAACGACTCAATAGTGTACCACAAGGAATACAATACGTTATAGCAGGCGAAGGGCAGGGCGAAGGGCACCCATGGATTCTCCAGCGCCAACACAAGGCCGAGGTCACAGATTACGATGGCAACAAAAAGAACGGCATGTTTGTCGAGGGCAACTGGTACACGCACAACACCAAAGTTCTTATGGCGCCGAGCTTGCTGGACGTTGTGCAGAGTAGACTGCTTACCGTCGCGACGCGCATGGAGCAGATGGCTGAGATATCCAAGAACATGACACACTGGACACCTGCGACGGGATACTCGTACTTCCCTCCTTCACACGAAGCTGCGAAAGCAGCGACTACGGCGAGTCGAATCGGCAGTCCAACACTGGCGCCAACAGATCCAGACGCGGCGGGCTCACAGTCACAAGGAGCGGGAGCCGCAACACAGGCGACGGATCCACTCGCATCCACCACCGAGTTCTCAGACGCGCTGTTCATGCACTCGCTCAATCTCACAAACGCATACGGAGACGAATACATGGACGAGAACCCGCTGAAGGGCGAACCAGGCGCGTTCGTCTTCGAGGGCACCAAGACCGCTGTCAATGCAAGGAACAAGGCACAGGAGCAAGCGGCACAAGCCTCACAGTCTACACCTGCTGCAGGGTTGAAGATCGAGACACAGCCACCGAGCAGAGCACCATCTGCAGTAGGCACACCAAAGGCGGTAGGGACGCCGACGACATTGGAAGCGCAAGGTAAAAAGGGCATCATCGCTCCCGCGCCCAAGAAGAAGAAGGACAGGAGGAAGAGTCAAGGTGGACTGACCAGTCCCACTACACCGAGTGTACCATAGTCCCGTCGTTCGGACTCGTTTTCGTGTAGGAGCTAGAACCCATTTCCTTTCCATGATACCCCGACTATATACAAGTCAAAATCCAAAGATCGTCAAAAGTCGTCTTCTTCCGATTCACCATGCGCTTATACCCGTACACTGACGTATGAATACCGATAAGAACACCTGCAGCCAACCGGAATGGAAGGTGAGATGCAACATCTAACGCCTCTGACTTTAGCCCGAACGCCGAAGTAAGCCACAACGAAACGGCCCCCAAATAAGCCGTTGATCAACATCCTACATGTATAAACAGTCGTCGTTGCCACATCCTACTCCAACTATCACAACATCCCATCCTCATCCTACTCGCAAAGATGGTTCTCCGAAAAGTCGTCACGCCGGCTCCCACTCCCAATCCCCCCTCAACCCACAACACCAGCACCAACGCCTCTTCTCATGGAAAACAACCCCACGACTACCTCCCCGTCCCCAACCCCATGCCCAGCTACTGGCTCCAAAACCCACATCCCTACGCCACCCTCCGCACAACGCCTTCCCTCCCCACGACATGCGACATCGCGATTATCGGCTCCGGAATGGCTGGCGTACTAACCTTGTACCACATCCTCCAAACCAGCCACAAAAGCTACCTCTCCACGGGAAAACGCATGCCACGCGTCGTCCTCCTCGACGCCCGCGACCTCTGCAGCGGCGCCACCGCACGCAACGGCGGGCATTCTAAAATTAAGACGGCGACGCTGGCGGGTATGCAAGATAGCGGGTTGAGAACGGAGATGGCGGACTACCACCAACGCGTCATATATGACTTGAAAGCGCTGGTTGAAGACGAGGGGTTAGTGCAGGAATGCGAGTTTGAACTCCGGCGTAGCTTTGATGTTTTTCAAGATCGCGAAGAGTTCGAAAAGGTGAAGAGGGTGTTTGATGATGCGGTGAAGAAAGGGGAGGAGTGGACGAAGAGCAGGAGTGTGGTTGAGGGGAAGTATGTAGAAGGTGTGACGAGTGTAAAGGGGGCGGTGGGGGCGTTTACGTGTGAGGTAGCGAGCTTTTGGCCGTATAGGTTGGTTACGGGGGTGCTTGGGGTGTTGGTGGGGAGGTTTGGTGGGAGTGGGGGAGATGGGGAAGGGGTGTTGAATGTACAGATGAATACGCCGGTTACGCACCTCACCACCTCCTCTACATCCAACGGCACCATTCTACACACCCCCCGCGGCACCCTCACCACTAAATCCCTCATCCACGCCACAAACGCCTACACCCCCTCCCTCCTCCCCTCCTTCCGTGGCACAATAACCCCCTACAAAGGAATGAACAGCCACCACGTACCCTCCCACCCCATCCATCCCCATTTGTCCAACACCTACAACATCGCCTTCGCCCCCTCATCACCCGGCCACCCAACAGGAACAGACTACCTAAACCCGCGCCCCGACTCCACCATCGTCGTAGGCGGCGGTTCCTGGCTCTACGCTCACAACAAATCCCTATGGTACAACACCGTCGATGACTCCCTCCTCACAGGCCACTTCCCTCCCCCCATCTACTCCCACTGGACATCCTACATGTCTACAACCTTCCTAGGCTGGCAGGACAGTCTAGCAGAGCCTGATAGTATCTGGACGGGGATTCAAGCGCAGACGCCAGATGGGATGCCGCATGTGGGCCGTGTTCCTGGGGTAAAGGAGGGCCAGTGGATGTTGTGTGGGTTTAATGGAGGGGGGATGGGGATAATACCGGTGTGCGCGAGGGCCGTGGCGAAGATGGTGGTTGAGGGGAAGGGGTTTGAGGATGTGGAGGGGGAGTTTGGGCTGGTGGGGGGGTTTGCTACGGGGGAGGGGAGGATGGTGTGATGTTGGAGTTGTAAATACATATTTGACGTGTATGGTATCTTGTGTTGATCAATCCTCAGCACGTTCAACATGTGCATGGATGATCCTTGGTAATGACGGTTTTCATCGCGAGAAGCGCGTTCTATGGGGTTGGTCTAATTACAATGTACGTACGGGATTAAATCTATAGGTATATATACAATCTGAGAAAGAAGCTTATTTACTTGAACGGTAGGGCATCTACCGTAATGTTTTTCGATTCAAGGAAATCGTCACTGGTTGCAGAAGACGTACTAATGAGTGGGTAAATCCCGGATCCTTTTCGCGACCGATCGACTTTTTGCGAAAACGGTGCCAATGCTAAAGGAATCTCCGACGGATACGAGGCTTGACTAACTAATCATCCCTAAGAAGCGAATTGTGAAAGAGGAGAGATGGGCTCCTCTCGATGCCAACAGAAAAAAACATAAACTCCATCCCAGATGCCGCTTGCTTCCCTTTTCATATTTGAGCATTTGCAGTTTGACGAAAGCCTTCATCAGAACAGTTTCTTTCACCCGCCAACAATGCAAGAGTCCCAGAAGCTAGCCACAAACACACCCGTGAAGTAACAAAGGAGAGATACCAAGCGACAAGATAGAAGCTCGAAATGATGAGGTTGTCGGTGAAGTGGAGTGTACAGGTATAAGGTAGAGAGGAGAGGAGATAGGAAATGGTATCTCTAACGGCTACAATTTGAACGTGGAGGGTTGAGGATTGGGAATCGTAGGACTCTTGCTTCCTGGAAACAACGTATTCCTCGAAATCAAAGCAAAGAAAAAAAGGGATAAGAAAAGTTGTCAAGACTACAAGTGGCAGGTCATAGTGCCTTACCACACCCACTCAAGGTCACCCAGATCGTCCGTGATCTGGGCGTGATCGGTATGAGAGCGCCAATCTTTGCTCTTGTACCAGTTGTCCACCTTCTGCTCCCAGGAGCTGACAGGGTGGTTGTTGTTTTCGTTGTGACTGGAGCCCCAGTGGATCGGTCGTCGGCCAGTTCCAGTCCGGCTCCGCTTCCGGGCGGAGTTCGGAGCTTCAGCGGACTTGGGCGACCTCATTGGCTTTGACGGAGTCTGCTGCTGAGCTTGCTGCTGGGCCTGGACGGCAGGGCTGCGTCGACGATCGCCGAGGGCAGCCCACTTGTCGGCAGCAGAGCGCTTGGGGCTGCGAGCAGGTGCTGGGGTGCGATGCTCCTCGAAGACGAATCCAGTCGCCGCGCTGACATGGTCGACCGCAGAGCGAATGTTCTTAGGCGAGCGATCCCTGCTGTTATGGACCGTGGCAGGGTTCTTCACCTCAGATAAGCCGCGAGGGGTCGAGACGCCAGATCCGGCTTCGGAGACAACAGCCTTGGGCTTGGGCTTCTCGGCACTGAAAGAGTGGCAGTTGTTCTCGAGCTCAGCGAGGAACTGCGCATCGTCATCCTCCTCATCCCAAAGGTCACTCCAGCTCTTCGAGATCATGTCGCGCTTCTTCCCGAAGACGGACGACATGCTGTTGAAGTTCTTGGCAGGAAGCGAGCCAGAGATAGCAACGGGCCGAGATCGAGTGAAGTTCATCGACTTTGGTTCGCTGACGTCAACCGACTTGAAAGATAAGCCTAAGCCAGAGTCCACAAAAGATACGGCAGAGGCGCTATCTGGCTTGACGTCGTAGGGAGGACCGGGGAACATGTCGTCCTCGTAGATCTCGTCGTCAGGAATGGCTGAGAGCTGACGGAACTGCTGAGGTGGGGACATGGCCAAGGCCTTCGCCCATGGGAATGAACCATTGTTCTCGAGCTGCGGCGTCGAGATGGAGGGAGTGCGGAGGGGCTCACGGTTGGCTCCGACAGCGACGACGTCACGCTCCTCAGTGCAGAAGTCGTCAAGGCTCTCGTCATCGGTGGTG